TAACAAAAAAAATCGAACTTCAAACCTCCCCAAGAAGGATCCAAGCAATTTGTGATGGGAATCGACGACTCTTTGAAGATCTTCAGCTGAAACTTCTAAACCATGAGCATGAGATCCTAATAACACAATATACGACTGAAATCCAAAAAAATTAAAATTAGGGTTCATTTAATAATACCTAGAAACATATGAACACATATCAAATACTTTATTTAAGTCAAAGCCAAAGCAAATGGCATACCTTTTTGATAGCGATTGCAGGTGATATTAACCAAAAGAACCCGAACAAAATAAGAACAAAAGTGGGAAAGTTCATCCTTAGTATTTTCACTCCCTGTAAAATTAATGGTCACTCTTCCTCTGTTAAATATTAAGAAAATTTTTGGGATATTATTAAATTAAAAATATTTATTTGATTACGTTTTAGTTTTAGTTTTTTTTTTATATATATAATTAAATAATTTTAAATATGGAGAAATAAGGTGAGAAGTTTTTTATTAATATGGAATCTATTTGTACTTCAAAAAAATTGACTGAATCACGGCGGACTTCACTCATTTAGTTTTGATTGGATTGGTTGCGTTTTTGTGGGTAAATTTAACAAATTTTTTTTTTATTTTTTTTTTATTTTTGCTTTATTTACTCACTCTTTTCCCTATTTTTATTATTATTATTATTTTAATTTGTAAACTTTTTTATTTGTTATCTATTTTTTTACGAATGTTTTTAAATTTTAAATGAGTACTCCTTTAATGTTTAAATGAAAATCATCGGAAAATAAATATAATTTCTAAAAAAACAAAAAAATCAAATAATAATAAACTGAGGATTTTTTTTTTCTTTCAATTTTTTTTTTAAATTAAAATATAGACTAAATTAATTATATAAAAATTAAAACCTTTGAAGTTTAAAAATTTTCATTAATACCCTTCATTTATTAAAAAAATAAAAATAAAAATAACTTTATAAGTAGTATTAACAATTTTAAACTTTATAAAAAAAAAAATTAAATAGAATTCTTCTACAAGTTTTTTTAGTTTTTTTACCAAAAGTTTAATATTATTTTTTAAATTAATTTAAATTAATGAAAATTTTGTAACACTTTCAACCCATTTTAAAAGTTCCAACATATTTTTTAAATAAAATAAATATATTTTATTTTTTATGGGTATGGTTGATATTAGTGTTGGATTTACTGAAGCAATAATAAATCTATTTTGTAATTTCAATTTAACCCATAAACTTCTCGAAATACCCTTTTATCTCTCTTTTAATTAATTAATTAATTTCAGTTTGGTCCATGTTTTGTCTTTATACGAGATTTGTTCAAAATCAACGGTCTGGATCTTGTAAAGAAACTGATCACCAGACAGTGACAAAAATTTGGATCTGTTTCAGCCGTACGATCTTCATTCTTTCATGATAACTCTGATTTGATTCCAAGTTTCTTGGTATTTTAAAAGATAATCGGTAAGTCACCTAGTGTTGGAGTTACTAATGCAATCATAAAGATAACATGATTGGGACCTATCTAAAACCGTAACATGACCTTAGACTCTTTTCAATTCCGAACAAGATTAGATATGTAGTACTTCTCAACACACAACCTACATACGTGCACATGGACTCATAAGATAGGCTCGTATATGTACCTCTGAGTTTAACTTGGTCGGACAAAATGCATTACACGTCACTACACACCTCATAAAGGAAAAGCTCACACGATATTATAATGAACATAAATATCGAAGCATCAATGCACATGACATGTCTGTACTAACATAATACATGCATAACTAAAATAAGAGTGTTATGGATATTCTTGATGGTTAAAGTATTAGTGGTGTAGTGGTAGAATAGTACCCTACCAAGGTATAGTCCTGGATTTGAATCCTGGCTAGTTGCAACTTTTGAAATGAAAAATTAGCAAAGATGAAATCAATTTCTTTTTATTTTAATTTATGATAACACGAATAGCACTATAAAACTTTATTTTTTAAAAAAATCGACTACATGACTAAAATATGAGAATGTTCTGGTTATACCTATTGTTGAAGCACCAGTGATCTAGTGGTAGAATAGTACCTTGCCACTGTACACCCAGGTATTGTTGAAGCACCAGTGATTTAGTGATAGAATAGCACCAGTGATCTAGTGGTAGAATAGTACCTTGCCACTGCACACCCAAGTATTGTTGAAGCACCAATGATCTAGTGGTAGAATAGTACCTTGCCACTATACACCCAGGCATTGTTGAAGCACCAGTGATCTAGTGGTAGAATAGTACTTTGCCACTGTACACCCAGGTTTGATTACCAGCGGGTGCATCATTTAATTTATAGATGACACGAATAGTACTATTGAACTTTATTTTTTAAAAAATCGACTACATGACTAAAATACGAGTCCACAGTAGCCATTACAGACCCAGGTTCGATTAGGTAGAATAGTACTCTCCCATGGTAAAGACCGTGAGAACTTGAGTTTCTCATAATAACAATTATCGTGAATAACAGCCTTTTTTAAAAAATCGCTATATCGGGTCTAATTTGCTGGTTCAATTTTTAAATTATCAATATGAAAACCTTGGTTTGTCACTCTATCATCTAGTTTAGAGGTGATAGGAATAGTATTTTTATTATTATTATTATATATTTTTTTTTTTTTTGAAAATTTAAGACTTTTTGGTTCATGTTACTCCCTTGTTTAGACCACAAGCTCTAGAGATGGTGGAGAGTCAACGCCATGCCTCTGCCAAAAATACATTTTGAATCATTTTCAATTCTTCTCAGGTGAGCGAACATACGGCCTCATGCATAGTTTTTGAGTATTTGATTGACATCAAATTCGGTGAGTTTTCATGTTTCATATCAACGAACTTAATTTTCAAGCTACATGCCGAAACTCATATCAAAACTCCAACTTCTGCGATTATGATCCAAATCCTCACCCGACCCTCTTTGATCTTAAACCTTGTGTATGCCTCAATTTATCTTCAATGCACACTCTTGTTGTGTTGGATTATGCATCGTTCTCTATGGGTCACATCATGACACTTCTTAGTCTTGACCCGAACGTGACCAGATAGGCGTCACTTGAGAATCGCCCATTGCATGTTTTGAGTGTGGGGATCACAACCTACTTTCTCTTAGTGAAGTTGTAACACTCTCCCCCACTTAACCTAGTCATCATCCTCAATAACTTTGTTGAAGGCAGAATCGTATCGTCGACTGTGACATTTAAAAGTATTTTTATTAATTAAATTAAAAGTATATTACTTTCAAAGATGGTATAAGAAAATATTAAAATTTAAAGAGATCACAAATTAGTTTTTAATAAATCTCTATAAATAATGTCGGGTATAGAAAATATGAAATAATATGGAAACTTCTTGAGAGTTATGTTCCATGGCCTCCACGGTAGAAGAGTATTTAGAAAATACTCAGTGAGCTACTGATAGGGTCCGAAAATACATTCACATATAACATATATCACCATTGTCTGAATAAGCTATTCAATTTGGGCCTACTACGTGATCTACATGGAGGCGCGTACTAATCTATCTAGGCCTTCTACGTGATTTGCACGAAGACATACTAGACTTCCAAAGTTATGGTCATGGGAGGCTTGATCATAAGTACCTACTCTGGTATTGGACCTTAAGGTATTTTGTCCTCAAACTTATGAGTAGGCATCTCGTGTTGGCTTTTTGGCCCTTAATTAATTGATGTTTTGATGATAACAAACTTACTTTTAATTATTAACAATTATCTGTATTTTCCATGGTATTAAGCTAGGAATAAGGATTCGACGCATTTTCAATCACTCAAATTAGAGCTAAAATGAAAATGAAAATGTTACAATTATCCGTATTTTCCATGGTATTAGAGCGTGGTATCAATGTTATGGTAAATGTTTGCTGAATCCACCCCACATAAATGGTGACGAGACTTCTCTTATTTATAATCATTTACCGAATACAGAAATATGGTAAATTACAAATAATATGGAAATAAAGTAAAAGGAAAGAATAATAAATGAATACCATATATTTGCTTTTAATAAAATGACAAATATGGTAAGCTAAGACAAATATCTAGATATTTGCCTTATAATGAACGGTCAATTATCCTTAACAACTACACTGTTATATTTTGTAACTCTTTATCATTTAATTTCAAAATTATTATTGTGATTTATTGCATGTTCTAAGTCTTTCATAATTATTTATTGTTTTGAGTTGAACTATTTTATTATATTAATTATCACCTTCTATTTATTTCTAAAAAGTTTTATGATTAGAAAAATTAAGCACGCTATTACTCTTATTAAAATCCTATTCATCCTCTTCTAGGGTTATCATATCGATCCAACAATTGGTATCAGAGTGAGTTACTCTTATAAATTTTTATATAAACTTCATTGTTAGAGCTTATGACAAACCTACGGACTTATGTTTTCGTATGGAATAAGACCAACTAGGAACTATTCCTACTTTAAAAGGTTCCACTGTCCTCGGATTTAGAGAAGTAACTTTTTCTAACCAAGACTCAACTACATAAACCGTAAACCGTAAACCATGAGGCATGAGTAGATTTAAAGGCATCACAATAACTCATGATCATGCTCGAACTTGAACGAAAATCTTTGTCGAAATGAAAGGTGACAAATGGGGAAAAAATTATAGATAATCAAAATATAGAATAGTTGTTTAGAATTTAAATATCATCGATGATCGATGAGGATAAGACATATATTGTCGCACATTAATTAGTTTATAATATATGATATTATGTTATATTCCTTTAAAAGAAAATGATATTGGAGCCGAAATTTCATACCAATTTGGGCCTTGAAAAAATAAAGTATTATTAAAATGAAAATGTTTAACTAATTAGATACTTAAAGCATAATTAATTATAATGTCTGGGCCCATAATCAGTGGCATTTATGTAAATATGATAAAACTAAGTTACGAATTTTCTTTCACATCCATCACTTCGCTTCATCTTTACTCCTCCAGCGGTTACAACTTACAGGCGACATTCCTCCGTCGCCTTCCACCGTATTGTACAGCCTCGCATCTCCGCCGCCGTTGTTGGAGTTCTCTACGCCCTTATCAACTTCTCGAACTATTTTTAGTATTTAGGTTCAAAAAATCGTAAAAGCTTAAATGACGGAACCTAGATTCGAAGTAGTATTCCTGTATTCGATTCTACTTTTCGGTTCATTTTTGGTGGTGGAATCCGGCATTGGAGTGAATTGGGGCACGATTTCGTTCCACAAGCTGAAGCCGTCCACCGTGGTTGATCTCTTGAAAGGCAACAGGATTGAGAAAGTGAAACTGTTTGAGGCAGACCCGAGTGTGCTGAAGGCTTTAATGGGGACTGGGATCCAAGTCATAGTTGGAATCCCTAACGAGATGCTAGCTTCTTTGAGCTCGTCTTCGCTTGCCTCGGATCTATGGGTTCGTCAGAATGTGTCTTCGTATGTTGTTAAAGGGGGCGTCGATATCAGGTGCGTTGTTGGTTCATTATTCCATTTCTTGTGGAGATCTCTAGTTTGGAGTACGATTACTATGTTTTCTGCAAATTTGTGGTGTGGCTCTTGTTGTTTGCGAGGGTTTTGTTAGTTCTGCTGAAGGTAGTGATTGAAAATGAAAATAAGCATATAGTTTGGAGGACTTTCTGCTTCAACAAGGCTTTAGTTGAGTTACAGCATTGTTTGCCCATTCTTTTTTCATTCGTTGGTACTGTATCAAAGGTTCTCTGTTGAATTACTTATTGGGATAGGTACACTGTATATTATGGTACAATATTCCACCTGATGGGCATTAGGTTTTCTTATTAAAGATAAATAGAATGGTGCATTTTGTGGGTGATTCATCTCCGAATCTGATGGGTAGCATTATTTGTGTGTACTTAAATTGTAGTAGTTGTAGCTTTTGTTGTCTATAATAGCTTAAACTCATTATTAGCCGATATTGTCCTTTTTGGGTTTTCACTTTTGTATTCCTCCAAAACACGTTTGCTATGCAGAGGTTTCCACACTCTTATAAAGAGTGTATCCCCAATCAATGTGGGATTTCACAATCATTTCCCTTCAGGGGCCAGCATTCTCACTAGAGGTCAAGAACAAGAAAATCCGAGGGGTTGACCCAACGATCTATATGGAAGGACCGTTTTGTTGATGTATTCCTCTTGAGAATGAAGAAGAAGGCACTTGTTCCCTTCTCCCATCGATGTGGGGTCTCACAATCTACCCTCTTCGACATCCAGTGTCCTCGTTGACACTCGTTCCCTTCTCCAATCGATGTGGGGTCTTACAATCCACTCTCTTTGGGACCAACGTCCTCGTTGGCTCTCGTTCCCTTTTCCTATCAATGTGGGATCTCACAATTCACCTCCTTCAGGCCCAGCATCCTCGCTGGCACTCGTTCCCTTCTCCAATCGATGTGGGATCTCACAATCCACTCTCTTCAGGGTCCAGCGTCCTCGCTGACACACTACCTCGTGTCTACCCCTTAAGGGTGTGGAAACCCGAATCATAGAAAACCTCTCCCTAACAGACGCATTTTAAAAACTTTGGCTTGAGCTTGGGCTACTAATATTTGCTAACGGTAAACTTGGGCTTGAGCTTGGGCTGATCTGATGCAGTGTCCCCCACACACTTGCATATTCCGTTTAGTTTTTCCTTGAATCTCGAATACAAGAACTCTAAAAATTTGAAGTTGGTAGTTTCTTTCTATAAGTGGTAGCTAGAGAGGTATGCTACAAGAATTAAGAAGTTGCATTTTAATTCAAGAGAAGGAAGAATTCTAAAAATGAAGGAAGAATTCTAAAAATGAATGTCAGTGTCACCTGATGCTTCATACACATATTTGGCGTCATAAAATAAATGAAGAATATTCTTGGAACCCATGGATATTCATAACTTACTGTTATTCCCGTCTTACCATCTCTAGTATGTGTATCAATTTTCCCAATGAGACCCAAATGCACTTGGAGAAATGGTTCAAGATTTCTTACTTTTGCTGCAAACTTTATGGTCACAGGTATGTTGCAGTAGGAAATGAGCCATTTCTCACCAGTTACAATGGAGAGTATCAGTCATACATCATGCCTGCTTTGCTCAATTTACAACAATCTTTAGCGAAAGCAAATCTTGCAAGCTATGTGAAGTTAGTTGTTCCTTGCAATGCTGATGCATATGAGTCTTCGCTTCCTTCACAGGGAGCGTTCAGGCCCGAATTGACTCAAATTATGACTCAACTCGTTTCGTTTCTCAACTCAAATGGCTCGCCATTTGTTGTGAATATCTATCCATTTTTGAGCCTCTATGCGAATTCTGACTTCCCACAAGACTACGCGTTTTTTGAAGGGACTACCCATGCTGTCTCAGATGGAAGTAATGTTTACTATAATGCATTTGATGGAAACTATGACACTTTGGTATCAGCTCTCACTAAAATTGGGTATGGACAGATGCCAATTGTTATAGGGGAGGTGGGTTGGCCCACGGATGGAGCCATGGGTGCGAATCTCACAGCTGCGAGAGTCTTCAACCAAGGCCTGGTTAATCATGTTTTAGGCAACAAAGGAACCCCTTTGAGGCCAGGTGTGCCTCCTGTGGACGTCTATCTTTTCAGCCTACTTGATGAAGGGGCAAAGAGTGTGCTTCCAGGGAATTTTGAGAGGCATTGGGGTCTTTTTTCTTTTGATGGCCAAGCTAAATATCCTCTAAACCTTGGTTTAGGCAATAAGGTACTGAAAAATGCAAAAAATGTGGAGTATCTTCCTTCTAGATGGTGCATTGCAAATCCGTTCAGGGATTTAACCGATGTGACGAATCACATAAAGGTAGCATGTAGCATTGCAGATTGCTCGATGCTCGACTATGGTGGATCGTGCAATGGTATTGGTGCGAAGGGGAATATCTCATATGCATTTAACAGCTACTATCAGCTACAAATGCAGAACGAGAATAGCTGTGAGTTTGATGGCCTTGGCATGATCACGTTCCTAGATCCCTCCATTGGCGAATGTAGGTTCCTTGTTGGCGTCACTGATAATCGTTCGCTCAGTTCTCGACCCATGGCGCTCGCCTGGGTATCGGTAGTATGGTTTTTCTGTACTCTGGTATTTTGAAAACTGGTTGAGAGAGTTTTCCAGGGTTGTCCATTGAATCTTCAAGGTATAGTTGGGGTTATAGATAGTAAACAATAGGCATTAGTGTTAGAATGTAAGCATATTAGAGCAAATTATTGAAGGTTAAGTATTCATTTGACTGTGTTCTAGAACAGAAAGTTGACATGCGAGCATAAATGTATTATTTATTCAATTTGATTTTGTTCATCATGTATCTTCATCTACTCGTCTCGAATGGGGAGGGGATTATCCATTAGACGGAGAATGAGATAGGGAGAGAGTGAAGAACATTCTTTCTCCATTAGATAAATAAGGTTGAGGATGAGATTATATTCCCCGTCCTCATCCATGTCTAAATCCTCGTCCCCACTTGGTTTCATATGTATTTTTTCAACCTATATCAATATATATCATAAAAAATAGATTAATTAATTTTAAGATTCTAACGGTAATATTGATTTTTTTTTAATTATTAAAGAGTATGTTATAATATTAGAATTTTTTAGAAAACTTTTAAAAATGGTTAAAAGACTATGTTGGTCTCCATTTGGTCTTCTGGTTTTGTGAGAAGGTTTGCCATAACCTTCTTCTCTTTATTGAGCATCAACATCTCCTCGTCAACCATCAGTTTGGGCTCTTGGTCATGTGTGAGTGTGAGTTTTGTTTCCTCATCGCACTTCTTCTTGCAGCACTCTACCACATAGTGCTTGTCTTTCTATAAAAGTAACACTTTATCATACTCTTGTCCTTTCAAGGGTTGACATTGTCATGGATTTGTGAGGCATTGTCACGACCTCAGAGATGTTTCTTCTTCTCTTTATCATCATAGCTACGAAGACGACCAACGACATCAATCAACATGTTATTATGGTTGTTGTACTATGAGGTAACAATCTGCATGAAGGAACTTCTTGACGACAGAAATCTCCTCCACCTTATCGCATAAAGAATGGATGTTTCTGACGATCATCGTCAACTTTATGGCAAAGTTGTCTATTGACTTATCGTTCTTCATGCAAATAGCCTATAAATCATTCTTCAAGGTTAACACCTTTGCTTCCTTGACACGTTCCACAGCTACATGCATTGTTTGTCGTATCTCCTATGCTGCCTTTGCCAAGTCATTCTTTGCCAACATGAGAAGGCCATCCTCCGAGACTGCTTGGCAGATGGCGGTAAGAGTCATCCTGTCCTTACGCTCCTCAACGTTACCATGAATGATGACATCCCACACACCTTGTGCATGTAACTAGTACTGGAGTGTTACACTCCCCTCCTTTTCGCTCTTTATTGTCGTCATATCTCCTCTGACGACATTTGCTTCAGCATCCTAGCTCTTATACCAATCGTTGGTTTTGACCTACGATCAAAATATATCGGAGTGTTACACTCCCCTCCTTTTCGCTCTTTTTTGTTGTCATATCTCCTCTAACGACATTTGCTTCAGCATCCTAGCTCTGATACCAATCGTTGGTTTTGACCCACGATCAAAATATACCGAAACAAATAAATAAAATAGAAAGAACAATTTTCGAGGTCATTTCACTCACATGGTCATATAGTCATATAGAGGATAGTTTCTTCACTCGCCATGGTCATTTCACTAAAATGCTCCCTACCAACTTATCTATGTACTTTTCTTCAAGAATTAGATGGAAGTTCTTAATATGGTGGAATATCTCCGCATAGGTCATTACAAACTTCGAGGGATAAGTCAAATCAATCTCGGAAATAGGATAGAACGTCGGCTAAGGCCAACCAAGTAAGTGGCCTTACTATTGGCTCGATCGGAAGACTTGTCATATGTATGACTACACATGCTCAGTGACTCTTGCACGTGTCATTTATACTTTATGTATTATCATGATTTAGGTGGGGTGGTTTCAGCAAATATTCTCATGGATTAGAGCCCTTTTGGTTTAGGGGATCTGATCCTTTATTTTCAATGGCTTCTAAATCCTCTATTCATCTTTTTATACACTGCTGGCTTTGATGCCGCATGGGCAATCTCCATGGCTGCCGCAAGCGGAACCGATTGATCATCCTTCGCAGGCCCATCCTTTGTCATAGTCTGTACATACAACCCCACCTTCTCTAACACAATCGGTTTTCCCTTAGTCAACATAGCCTCTTTCATTTTCTTCTCAATCCGTCCTTCATCCTTCATACACCCTTCATAGAAATCCTAACCTCAAGATTCTCATCGGAAATGTATGGAATCTCAATAAAGCCCATCGACCTTCTACAGAGATTTACCTTCGGAATCTGGGCACTGCACTAGCCTCTTCCCAACCAAATTGTCGCCCCCCTCCTCGCCAAAATCGACTCCTTCGCCCACTGTGGCAACTCATCTGGCTTCAACACCGTCTTCGTCCCTTACTCTGAGGGATGTGGCTCCCTCTCCGTCCCTTGGAACTTCACCACCTGCTATGGTGTCGACTACTTCTCCACTGGCTCTGCCTACTGTTCTATCGCCGACCTCCACTCCTGGCAATTGGGGTACTGTGAACAGAATTGTTGTCTATGGATCTATCATTGTGGCTCTTCACCCACTCTTGATGTTCTCTTTATTAGTAAATTAAAATATATTCAAGATATTCTTACTCGTGCTCATTTTCTCTATAGCAAACCAGTCCACAAGGTGCAAACCCCACTCTGCCTCCGCCCCTCTCTTTCTTTCTTCGTCTAAAATACACTCCAGAGTCTGCAATCTCAATTTCTGCCTTCTTTTCCCTCTCTTGCTCTGACGGCCACCACATCCACCCTTCCTTATTCACAGCCACCATTGAACCCTCTCTTTCCCTTTCCTCAAAATAGAGTCATCGCCCTAATTCTGAAGCCTCTACCTTGCGTCTCTATAGCCTACAACCCATGGTTGTTTTTCAACACCCAATTGTTGATGGCCCTCTCTTCTCTAATCCTACTCCCTATCGATCTCATGTTGGTGTCTTCTCTATCGACTTTCCCTTTGACCTGTCAATTTCTATTTTTCTAATTTCTTCCTCTTCTTTCTCAGTTTCCATACACTCTTTTCATTCCCATTCTATTTTTAACTACAATTTCTATATCTTCCAATGTTGGAATGGCAAGAATTCTTAAAGGGGATTTTCCATTCTCTCCTTTTTTGTTCTCTTTGCCGAAAAAAAGTATTTTTCGACCTCTCTTGAATTTTTTAGATCCAAGTTTCATATTCGTTCAAATCGAGGCTCAACTTGCAAGAGGGTGTTAAGAATATTCAGTCTTGAATTATAGTTTACCATATATATCATATTTATCATTTTAATTTGAGCAAGTATCTTGTATTCATCTTTCCATATTCTTTTTAATTTATTTGATTCTCTAAATGATTTATTTGATTCTCTAAATGATTATAAATAGAGAACTTTCACACAATTTAGGTGCGGTCGTTTTAGCAAATATTCTCACCCTAAATGATGTTAATGATGATGAACCTATGATGACTAATGCATGCATGTTACCTTGAGTGACATGTGAATGATGGGTAGGAATTGTCATAAGAATAATTTAAGATGAAAACTATAGGGATCTCATGCATATTATGTGTTCATATACACCAAGTTACTCTCATTTATGAAGATGAGTACGAACGCGTAAACTATGATGGTGATGATAATGATCATGTCTTACATGATATTCGGGAGTTTGCTAACCTCCAAAAGTCCGGCTAAGGATAACTAGCCCGACTATGATGAATTTAGGAGAGTGCGAACCGCCTGAGGACTCACACTCGTACGTGTGGGTTGCATGTAAGGAAGTACTACACATTCAACTTTGTCCAGACTAGAAGCCACCTCCATGATAATTTTAATGATAGGTCCCTAATCATGAGTTGCATATGTTTTCATTCATTGACGCACTAACAACGGAGTCACCTACTTAAAGTACCAAAGTCATGTGCTACTTCTATCTTTTAAAGTATCAAAGCCTCAAAGTCATGTCCTACTTCTAACTTAAAGTATCAAAGCCTCAAAGTCATGAGCTACTTCTATTTCAGGTAAAGTCAATACACCTTAATGACTATGAAATATCATGTGCTACTTCTATCTATTTTAAATAAAGGCAAGACACTCTTATATGACTGACGAAATATCATGGGCTACTTCTATCTATTTCAGGTAAAGACAAGACACTATTGTATGGCTTACGACAACGCCACAAATAAAAACAATGACATATGAATAGGGTAGTGGTATTTAATTTTTTAGACTTTAAGTTTGTATAGGGTGTGTTTACTTTTAATATTTTCTTTGTTTCATTTAGTATCCTTCATGGTCGGGTTTATGATGAAGTTTTAAATGTTTATTTCGGATAAAAGAGTATATTATGATGATGGTAACGATGGTAACAACTTTAGGTTATCAAAAATCTAAAATAGAGGAATATGAATTGTTAGTGCGTCAATGAATGAAAACATAGATTCCATATGAATTGTTTTTTTTATTTATTTCAGGATCATTTGTCTTCTCGTCCATGAAAAAGGAAAAAGATTGGACACAATTTAAACAAATGTGTTAGATTAAAAAAATTATATTCAAACATTTTATTTAATAATGATGTAGATGTTTTGAAATATTTAACAAACTCTACTAATCAAATGCCAAATTTGAACTCAGTATAAACATATGATCGATATCAACATAAATGTATTAAAAATATTTAAACTAACAAAGGATCATTTCTCTCTTTTTTAAACTATAAAAAATAAAAAGAAAAAAAAGTGAAGTAAAAAAAAGGATCCAATTTGACAAGTTTAGATGAAAGTAACCAGTTGGATTGATTATGTCACAGGCATGAAGAAATGTCAAAACTTTACATCACATGCATGAAGAAAGCTCAAAGAAACTTGACCAAAGGGGAGTAAATATGTTTACCTAAAACGGACCAAGTAGGTAGAGGCATAGAATAAATCAGAATGCAAGGCAATTCTTTGTAAACTACTTGCCAAAAATGGCTCTAGAAATCAAGAGATAGGGAACCTCTCCTCATAAAAGGAATCATAGTGACTACATCCAAAAAGCTACTAATCCAAAGTAAACATAAATTAATTGGTGAGCTAACAATTGAATCTCAGATGAATATCAAAGCAGAAAATTTGGGTCCTCGTCGTAATTCTCAGAAAAATATCAAAGCAGAAAATTAAAAGGATTCCAATACCAAATCGCTATGAATAAA